ACACAGATAATCGTGAGTATTTAAAGACTACAATAACAAAGACTACTTCAAGCCATTTTAGGGATAAAAATGAGTTGACTGTATTCTAATGTGACACTCAAAACTGAGATAACTAAAGAAACTGACTTCTATAAGTTTACTTTGTAACCATTTATACTAATTTACACACTGAAACATCAAAAAGTAAAAATAGTGTCTGGTAAGTAAAAACATTTATTCCAAATAGCTCACAGTTCCTAAGTGAGCCTTATAAAGCCACATGGCAGTTGGCAGTGGGCAGAGATGACATCTTGAAACTCTTGTCCTCTTAAAAGCAGCGGGGAGAGATTGACAGTGAACACTCTCACAAAACAGGTAGAGTGACCCCCATTTCAGACAGAGGCAAAGAAGAGAGTGAAAATTAAAACCAAAGCAAAGCATCACCATTGTAATGAGCCATAAACTACAGCATTATTGGGAAACTAGAAGAGAAGAAACTTTACTAAAACTAAGTACCAGAAAATGTGTTAGAAGTAAGTGGCTAAAAAAGACTTGATTTAAATAAATATTTTATCAATGCTACAGATACAGGGTGGGGCAAGAGTAAGTTTACATTGTTCATATGGAAAATAATATAATTAATAAATAGTACTACAAGAATAAACTCTGTGTTTTGTGCACTCACAACTGTAAACCTCCTTTGGCCCCACCCTGTACTTTTCTTCAGTGGATACAGTGAATAGGATCTGGGACAACATGCCTAGCTAAAACACTGTGAATGTATCTTTCAGCATCTGTTTGCATAGAAACTGTGGCTGTAGCCTTTCTCCCCTTCAGTGGATGATACCTCAGCCACCCTTGGCCACACTGGGCTCTCTATTGCCCTACAAATGTCCACTCTGTGGCTTGACCAGCTCCCTCTCCTCCACCTGATTGTCAGCCCTTTCATCTGTGCCATGTCAGGGCTTAGCTCACATACCATTTCTTTCTAGAACCCATTTTTTGACTCTCCCGTTTGGAGAAAATCTCATACTGTTACAGACAATTGGGGGAGGTCAAAGATTTTAAAGATGAGAGTTGCCATTTCCTCGTTTCTAACTGACTTTGATTTCAAATGCCTTTGTTTCTTTCTTCTGCCACACACAGCACTTTTTAAAACTGCCTTATCTTCACCATAGATTTCTGAAGAAATTTACAGTTACTGAGATAACATCCCATTAACGATCTAATCCTTGAAATATTTAACATACATAGCAGGGAGGCAGTTGATTTAAATGGAAAGAAATGGAAGGAACTCTAACACACCATGCATTTAGTCTTATTTATTAGTGACATCTGTTTGAAAAAGACAAAAATATTAGGAAAGAGTAAATGCTGCTTAGAAAGTAGCTAATAAATCCCCTTTAAAACAAAAAGCATCTCAAATGACACCTACTCAACATAAAAAAAAAATAATGGGTGTCTTAAGGTTTCTAAATTACTTGAAAGCTACATTTCCACTGTGTCTTTCCAACGGATCCATGTATGCATGAAACAACGAAGGTTGTGGGGTGACAACTGCTACTAAATGCTGGAACAAATGTTATGATCCAGGTCCCCTGGCTCCCGCTTCAGGCAAACTCTCACCACCCCTCCCCATCTCTGATGCTGGGCAACAACTCACTTCGGATGTATACGGGCAACAGGAAAGTCTACGGTGTTATCTGCTGGTAGTTTCTCCCACCGAGTACTTGCTAATCAAAGTCTGGTCCACAGACCAGCCACAGCATCACCTGGGAATACTTTTGGAAATGTAAAAAAGTGTAAAAACTCAGACTCACCCCAAAATGTACTTTTTAGCAAAATTTTTGGTATGGCTGTTGAATTCTAGAACAGTTCTTGCCAATACAAAAATTTAGTTTTAGGTTGGGCACCTTTATGTCTGAAATGGGTGAATAACCTGAGAGCAAAGAGAAACAGGATATCCTAAGTAAATGCTGCTTGCAAGAGAAAAAAATACCAAAAATAAAATATGTAGTATCTGACAGTGAATGAAACAGTATATAACAAGATTTTCAATTAATATATAACATTGAAGGGAAGAGTGCATTTTAACATTATTAAAATTCTTCCATAACTTACATTTACTAAATTGTGTCCTTCATAGTTCTTGTACTTTGCAAAAACACTTTTTATATTGTCACCACATAGAAATTCATAAATTGCAAATAAATTTTGATGAAAAATTTAAGAACTTTCTATCACCTAAATATAATAACTATTTTTCAGTTAGAAAAAAACCCTACCTTCTCCACTTCATCCTATTTGTAACAATTTCTGGTTCTCTTTAAAATTTAATTATTACTCTTCAATTATTTTGAAGAGAATAAGTTGACAATTAAAAAAAATAATTTGCATTTCCAATTGTTTCTATTGACCCCAGTACCTTCCCTCTCCTGAAGAGCTAGTTGTGAATCAATGTACCTCTTCTGGTGGCTTTGCAGGCACGAGGTCGGGAAATTCTGAAAAGTGCAGTGTTGGGGATTAAGATATCTGATTCATATAAATCTGCTTCTGTTCTCAAGAGAGCTGGAGTGCAGAACTCAGATCCAGGAGCTCCAAGAGAGGAACTAACTGCAGAGCCCCAGAGGAACTGCTCTTTTCAACTCTCTTTCCTATGGGAAATTGAAATATTCTTTGAATTTTTAATGTCCCAGGTATTTTTCGTTTCTTTTTCCCAAAGAAGGACAATAATGTCTAGTGCCTTCATTGTCACTTGGGTTTCACTCTAGGAACTTAAGGTAGTGAAGTATCTGTATATTGAAAGTACATAGACATGTGTAGCCTAAATTAAATGTTGGCTGATATCCAAAGGGGGATCAGTTGTCTGAATTACAAAAGATTTCTGTTTGCATTTTGATTCCCAGATGTAATGAAAACATTTTGTGGTGGGAGGGAAACATTTATTTTTTACTCCAGTGATTTGTACAAGTTTGACTAAAATCCTTAGTTAAAAAACAAAAGAGGAAAAAACCCCCACGTGTCACAAATATTGTAAATACTAGTTCAGTAAATGACAGAGTGAGAAGTCGTGGGAGCTGGGTCCTGGTCCTGCATCTATCGTTAGTGGTATAACCGGGGACAAAGCACTGATGTCCCCAGGTTCATCTCCATCATCTCTACCTTCCTGTGAAACTCTGGGTGTGGAGAGGAGACGTTACTAACTCCGGGAAGGGAAAGCAAGGGGAAGCACGGGAGGCAGAACGTTCACAAGGGGCTGTGTCACTCCTTCCCCAGCAAACAAGGCAGGACGGCTGCACTAGGAAACCATCCGGGGCTAGGAAACGGTGGGGATAAGGAGCAGAGCTTCACAGTGGAGCTAGTGAAGTACTTTTTAAAGTACAAATAGGACTCTAATACCAAGAGAAATATTATAAGAACCCAGATGGTATACACATAAAACTGCCAAATTATTATTTCATCAGCAAGCACCAGCATAGACAATAACCACCATCACAAATATCATCAGTTATTTAAAAGGACAGTCATAAACTCCTTTCCAAAAGATGTCAACAGGCAACCTTACACCAAGCTATTTCATTTTATTTTCTAAAGTCGTATAGTAATGAATTGAGAGGTAAATTTAATAAGCACTAATTCAAAATAATTCTACTTCACAATAAGGTGAAAATCTGTTTACTCATGTCTTAGCAATTGGTGTTTTAAAATAAAAACAGAACGTCTTTATGTGTGTGCATGTTTGAATACCAAAACAGAATCACTTCATTAAGAAGAATTACCAAAACAAACCCCTCAGTAGTATCCAACATGCCACATTAGGTCTCATAAAACCACCTGCCTTTAATGTCCCTGTTCTTTTTTTTAAGATTTTAGTTATTTATTTTTAGAGAGGGAAGGGAGGGAGATAGAGAGAGAGAGAGAAACATCAATGTGCAGTTGCTGGGGGCCGTGCCCTGCAACCCAGGTATGTGGCCTGACTGGGAATCGAACCTTTGGTTCGAGCCCACGCTCAATCCACTGAGCTACGCCAGCCAGGGCTAATTTCCCTGTTCTTGAAAAATCTCTGTTCATATTTATTTCATACTTATAGTCTCTCTCACCATTTCAAAGAAGCTGCACTATTCTACCTCTGTCTTACAGGCTGTGGGGAGGGACCCGGCCATGAGCGGGACAGCAAGGATGGGGGGCAGTAGGAGGCCCGGACGCCATGTGTGGGCCCGTCTTTGGGCAGCTGCACAAGGTTAGCACTCACGCTGCCAGCTGAATGGCTACTGTTTAACTGTGTGACCTGTTCCACAGACTAAGGTCAAAGTCAATTTGTGGACAATTATATAAACTTCTCCACACAAAAAATTGCTAATTTGTTCATTGAAATGTTATAAATGAGGAAATGAAACAAAAAACATTTTAGTGAAACAGTTTACTTATATATGAAAAAACACATATACAAAACATGTACATATATATACATAAAATTAAGAAGCTATAAGGCAATATTTGTCCTCAATGCAAGTGATATATTTCAGATTATCTATTTTCTTCTATTGTAGTTTGATTTTCAATAAAAATGTGATTTGCAGCCATTAGCGTGTGGAAATCACTCATACTCACTTGCAAGAATAGGTTAAGTTTTTAACATTTTTGAGAGGCAGCTGACATTCACAGTTAGAAATTGGCTAATTGGCTAATTGGCTAATTGAAGATTATTTCTAATATACACCAAGAAAATTATTAAATTCTACCAATCAGGACTTTTCTTCTTTCAGAAACAAGTGTCAAATATTTACCAGCACACCAATGCTTGATGACCACTAAATCAATTTGACCAGTTATTAATGGGTCTTAGCTTACAGTTAAAAAGACACTGAGTAACAAATACCATATAGAGATCCCAGTACCCAGAGACCCCCTTACCCAGTACGTATTAGTTTTCTTCTTTGTTTCCTTCTCTCACTTTTCTATTATTCAAACATATATGTATCAATATTAAGCAAAAAGGAATGGTGAATTCAAAACACAACTTTTGGACTATGTATTTTACATTTATTAAAAATGAGGATACCAATTAGCAATACAAAAAGCCAATGAGCCTGAGGAAGAAAGGAAGGCACTGAATGAATTTGCATCTAAAAAGATAGAAATTGCTGTGATTAATATGAGACCTGCATAAACACGTTGGTTGACACTGTGGCTTCAGTTACACAATTTCCATTTCTCTTCCATTTCAAAAATGTTTAACCTCACAACAATAACATCAAGTCAAAGCTTAACTCTCAGCTAACTGATGACTGATTCCTGACAGCATGTGCATTTCTGAAATTGTTAATCCTGTATTTATTTACCTATAGTTTTTAGTTGTCGATATGTCAAAATACATCTGGTCAGACACGGAAGGAGAAAACGTGGATGGGACTATCCCGGGAGGTGTGTGTGGTGGGGAAGGGGCCTCAGTCCTCGAGCTCAGCTGTGGATGCCCCCTTCCACGTAGTTCAAAAGATTTTGTGTGTCTTCATCGCACTCCCACCTTTTTTCAACTTCTTTTCACCTTTCTAACATTCTTTTTTTTTTCTCTACATGGAAGTAGTGTGCATATGAAGTATGCTAAAAAGGAGCAATTTTTGGTCAAAAATGAGTCCTCTTCTTTTCCTCAAGTGTTAGAAACTAGGAACTTTCCATGATAGTCAAAATACATCACACACATGCATACTTGAAATGACTTCATTCTTCTTACTTCCAGTTCTTTTTCTTCAATTCACTCATACAGAATAAGTCTATTCAGTTTCTTTTTGAGTAAATAAATTAGTGTTATGGAAATGTGAGGTGAAAACTTTACCTAGTAAAATGTACTTAAGTGCTCTGCGAAACCAGGGATAGAAGAAACCATATATTAAAGGATTACACGTGGAATTGAAATAGCCAAACCATGTCAAAGCATCAAACAAAACCACTGGAGTAGAGAAGTTCAAAAAGGGGTCCAATAAAATTGTGAAGAAACAGGGAAACCAACACAGCAAGAAAACACCCATCACTATCCCTAAAGTTTTGGCTGCTTTTTTGTCTTTCTTCATTTGAGTGTTTTGATTTTCTGATAAGTTGTTGATCGCACGGGCGTGTTTTCTGGAAACTGCAAAAATTTGGCCATAAATCCCCACCATCACCGACCCAGGAGTGAAGAAACCCGCCATGAACAAGGTGGTCCCCCATAACTTGTTGAACATTACTGGGCAGGAACTGGAACAAGAGAGCAAGATATCATAGCCCTCTATTCCATCGGCGTAGGCCTCCGAGAAGACCACTCCGAACGCAAACGCTCCGGGGACTGTCCAGCAGAGCAGTAGCAACCGCTTAATGACTGGAATGGTCATTTTGGTGGAATACCGTAAAGGGTAACAGATAGCATAAAATCTATCAATGGCCACGGAGCAAAGATGGAAAATGGACGTTATGCTAAGCATCAAGTCAAAGCTATAATGAATCTTGCAAAATGTGAGCCCGAAATACCAGCAGTTCTCCACCGATCTGACCATACTGTACGGCATGATGGTGAAGCCCAGGAGGAAGTCGGTGACCGCCATGGAGAGGATGAGGAAGTTGGTCGGCGTGTGCAGCTGCCTGAAGTAGGAGATGGAAATGATCATGGTCAGGTTGCCGAAGACCGTGATGCATATGGCTCCTGCCATAAATGAGTACATGGCTGTGCGGACGCCCAGCGGCCTTGGGTTTTCTGGGCAAGATCCATTTCCATATTCAGAGCAGTTGAATGTTTCCTTCAGAAAAAGCAAGGACACATGGAATTTTGTCAGACAATAGGTAAAATTTTATATGTTTTACATAGTTTTCCTAGAAGAATTCTAAAAAGTTATAAAAGACTCAAGGAACACAATTTATGCTAAAATATTTACTTATAGTGTATTTGTTTATTTATTTTAATCTTTATTTGCAACTTCATAGAATTCTAATGGGTTTAAATGATCATTGTTTATACTTTCATGATTCAGATTATACTACTAAAATTTAGAAAGCTCTTATTTTATTATGCCAAGGCCTGAAATTTAAAAGGAAGACAAGATGAAGAAGGAAGAGAAACAAGTTTATTATTGAACTTATTATAATTGATCTTCCTTATACATGTACAAAGGCTAGATATCCACTGAAAAAATACATTCACTTCTCCTTCAGGTGAGTCAGGAATACAAAATCAGATTTGATTTGATTGGGGCCTATACCTTTGTGGGACCAGGAGGTTATTATTTTTAGTTATGTGTTCCACTATTTTCATTATGTTTCATTTCTTATGTTGAAGTTCTTTGAAAGAGGAAGAATCATACAAGGATATCTAATGATCTGGCAGAATCATCTTCTTCAGTCAGTCATGAAGCCTTGCAAAGCATCTCACCAGCCAGAGCAGCTAAAGCAGAGGTGGGCAAAGACCAAAGCCGGACTATTTTCACTTCTTTAGGAAGAGCAAGTGCACTCCTCAGTGCCTCTTCTCCCAGCCCCACACAATGAACTTGTAATAACAAGTTCCCCTGTGTGGGTCACACAGAGAGCTAGGAGCAGATGATTAGAAAGCTTTAGGAAAGCAAGCCATCTCCACTGCAATAAAAACAAGTGGTTCATGCTGTCCTTGTATTGGCCCAGTATCTTCTTTTTGCATATAAAAATCAGCATGTATAAAAAGCATTATTAAATACAAAGCACAACTATTTTCTTAATTTTTTATTTATTGATTTGTGAAAGAGAAACATTGATTTGTTTTTCCACTTATTTATATATTCATTGGTTGATTCTTATATGTGCTTTGACCAGGAATTGAACTCACAACCTTGGCATATTGAGATGACACTCTAATCAGATGAACTACCCAGCCAGGGACAAAGCATAACTATTAAAATGACAGAAAGCCTTTAGCCATCAATGACTTCACACATACCAGACTGGACCAATTACTAATAGATAATGCAATAAGTTCTCAGCCTCTGTGATGTAAGAACACCATCACGCATAACTGTTTATTGAATGCCTACCATATACAAGACTCAATAAAAGAATGAGAAAGAATAAACTAGTCCATGGCTGCAGAAAGTCTACACAACAGCTGAAGAGACAAAACACATTGACAGGTAAAAACTAAATGATCTTGTACCACAGATAAAAAAAAATAACAGTGGCGATTAATTGACCAAAAAGAGGTCTAGGCAAAATGTGAAATCAAACATCAAAAATAGGCAAGGAAATTTCAGGCTGGGGTAGACAAGAATATTCCCACTGAAGGTGGGGCTTTCGACTTGCTTTTAAAGGATAAAGGGGATTTGAGCAGAAGAGAAAAAAAGCCTATTTCAAGAAGAAAGGTAGGGTGAAGAAAAAGCACCAAGATTTGTGGAGGCATTTGAAAGCCACTCTCCAGGTGTCTGAAACACAGCAGAGAAAATAGGGGGTTGAAGAGACAATAGGGTGGGCAAGGAGAGAGTTTGCAGTTTTGTTGCTGACCCCCAAGACTGTGATCTTGACCACATATAGTCAAAGGAGCTTTTCCACTGGGCTCTCAAATTTAAATAGTGATTTTAAAAAGAAAGAAAATAAAGCAATTAAGTTAGCTACAGGAGAACGAATGCAGATTTCAAACTAAAAGCTCTCTCCTACTGATTTAAAGTGTTCAGTTCTGGGCAATTTTATTTTTCTTCTTCTTTTTGCTTTGGAGTCACATCCCTACCTGGGCAGAACCAATGACCTAACTGTGACACGGGACACGTTTTAGCAACCGAAGTAAAGATGGAGAAGGAGGGATGCGGGTGATACAATTGCATTACGGGAATGCTACCCAGCTGCCTTTGGGATCTGCCAACTAATGCCCTGCTGGCTACTTACAGAAACAACAGACTTATTTCTGAAAAATGTTTTGGCCAGAACATTTTTTTCCAAAATGTTCTAAACATGTACAACTGATTCTCAACTAGTACTCATTCTTTGCAGAGAGCGTAGGGATTTCTAGTATGTGTATAGCATTTCTCTCCTTTTCCTCCTAGAACATCCCAGGGGAAAAAAAAAGGTAGAAGAGAGTGAGAGGCGAGGAATTTCCCCCCATCTCGGTGCCACATTTTTCTGCTGCTTGTCTCTTCTTGTGAGCCCCCACTGACCAGCAGAAAATTCACCACAGAGGAAAATACTGGGAAAAATGCAGTGTTATGAAAGAGAAGGGAAGGTTCAAATCACCTCCTGTTAATTCATTCAAGAGCATAGGGGAGCCAAAGAAAATTTTGTTAGTTTATGTTTAAATCACTTTACTTCTTGAAAAGAAAAGCTAAGAGAAATAACAATTTCATTATAATGAAAATGGCACACACACAATATTCTTATGCTACAGAAAACCCCACAGCAACGACACATTACAAAATTTGATTCCAAACTGCTCTGTGCTTGTGGCTTAGTGACCGATATTGTTAATCACCCTACCATTCCACTTTTGGAAAGTCTTAATCCTTTTAACTTTTAAAGTCATGGGGTGACTGTTAATAAAGTTCTTTGAAACACATAGTGTGACATATACATTAGCATTTGGGTTCCTCATGCATTCGCTGCAGATCAGACAGGAACACATCAGATGAATATTCAGGGAGCTCATCAAACAGCGCTTTAAGTCACTTCCATTCATCATTCTCCATGGTGCATTTGGCATGTTTCTCGCATGTGACAGCCATCATCATTTTAACCCTTTTAATGGCTACATCATTTGCAACTTTCAGATTGCTTGTCTGTGGAAGCTAGATGCATAAAACAATATTTTTAAGATTATATTCTGTGTCTTTTTTTCTATTTTTTTAGACATGTTAATATAAATACATGGATACATGAATTGCAACAAAATTAAATGGGAAATCTGATCTTTTCTCCATTACTGTTATGTTTCTACAAAACACAAAAATGAAAGATTTGGGACATAATGAATTTCTTGTCCATTGAGTGTATTAATAAATATTATATCTAAACTTTATTCTATTGAATTATTAAAATAAAAGTGTCTTTTGCATTTTTCCAAGAAAGCAATTAAATTGCAGAACCATGACCATGATAATAAAGAATTTTCTGATTTTTCTAATGTGATCTTATTTCTTTTTAACTTATCATTACATTTGGTAAGTGCTTTTATAATATTAAATATTCCTCAGCTTTAGCAACCACTTTTAAACTTCTAAGGGACTTTACAAAGCCTTTCTCCCTACTAATCATTCTTTCTATTTTCCTTGAATTCTTTTTCCCTTACTCAAGCTATTGATTTCTTTCAGTTCAATTTATATTAAATATTAAATGTAAATGAATCCCAGCATATTAAATAATACATATGAACAGCCTTAGCATAATGCCTGATACATAAAGAGCTCCATCAAAGGTAACTTTCCTCTCATCCTTCTTCCTTCCTCCCTCGTTAGGATGAACACCACATTCAATAACAGACACAAACAGAAAAAGATTTCTCCTGAGAAAGTAAAGGCATGGGATTGCATGCAAAAAGCCCAGGTAGTTGCTTTAACTTCTGCATCACTTGGGTGAACACCATAGCTTACTCAACCACTTAGGACGAGTTAACCCTGCCAGGGACTCTAAATCTTCTTCCCAGGAAATGTGGGGCACTGCCCAAAGGCAACACACTCTCCTTGTTCAGGTATTTAAAAGGCTCTCTCTTTTATTATAAAATTTTCTTAAATCCTACATATATAAGCTTCCACATTCCTACACATTCTCTCTGCGCATAAACCAAATGCAAGAATGGAAGAATCAAGATACCAGCAATACAACTGCATTAGGGTGACAATTTACTTCTTAAGAAAACCTCAAGGAAGAGAAAACACAGATCTGCCCTTGTTCATCCCTTCTCCACATACCTGCTGCATTGTAGAAGATTCCATTGTTAATTAGACTCCTTACTGAAGGAACTTTATTTCTTTGTTTATTTCTAACTCCTGTGACTGCTTATATGGAACTAGAAAACCTGAACTATGTGAATTGTGCTGTTCAATAACTTAACAATTAGTCTCAAGGGAATTGGATCTGAAAAGATTTTTTTAAGTAAAAATTAACCCTGCTTTTCTAAAGTTTAAGAGCTTAATGAGCCTAAAACACTCCATCCTCTCAGGACTCTCAGCTTACCTAAGTTTTCATCACCTGCAACTCTGAAGGCTCTAAGTCTCCTATTATATACCAACTGTAAAGCAAATCTGATCAACTGAGTCAGCGGTGGCTTTAAGGAACCTGATCCAGCCACACTGGGTGGGATCAGAGGTTCAGTTAGGTAAATGAAAACGTGCCCATCACCTCTTTAGAAAATCTGAGACTACCCCCATCTATATTTTGCTTCATAGTCTAGTCATTGAGAAGAGGCCTTACCACCCATTGGGTTTCTCCTTTTTCCTTTGTATAAATCCAACTAAAAGAATAAATCTAATCAATCCTCTTAGACCCAGAAGAATGGGGCATAATTATTATCTCTTGAAGGAACTCACATGGTGATGCCAACACCTCAGATGCTGCCGACTTAAATCTACTCATGCATGTTAAAGGCTCTACTTCTTTGTGTTCTTTTAAAATGTGTCAGTTTATTTTTCACTGATGGGCCAGCCTTGGACAGCAGCATACTCAAGATGTAGATAAACTCTAATACTGGTCACTAAAGACATCGGGGTCCAGCTTGAATTATAATTTTGCCTAATCTATGTGCTCTCAGTCAGCTTAGCTCAGGGCTGCTGCTTGGGCATGTAATTTTCACGGTCAC